CTCCCCTCTCTTCTCTCCTTTACTAATTTTTATCTAATTAATAAATTTTAATTTTTTTTTTATTTTTCATTAAATTATTTAATTAAATAAAAATATTATTTTTTCCTCTCATTTGCTTTTATCTATCCAAACGAAATTAATATCAACTTTTTCCTTCCTTTCACTTCTCCTCCCTTTCCTTTTTCTCCCCTCTCTTCTCTCCTTTACTAATTTTTATCCGAATATACGCTTAATGTTGTTATTCAAATAAAAGAGAGAGGAGAAACATTTCTTTCACTCTCTTCCCCTTTCCCCCGAACTCCCTCAATCCGAACAAAAGCTTAGAGAAAAGCCTAACTTTATAAATAGGAGTTAGGGGCTTTGTAACTCTATAAAAGTTACATGTAGAGGGAACGATCTAAGTCTCATGTACATGGTAGATTATGCACTACAACTTTTAGTATATCAGAACTTCGATCTATTTTTTTTCTCTCAACAAAAATTTAGAATTTGTTCTCGTCTAGACTCTTATTATTATTATTATTATTATTATTTTTGTTTCTTTCGTTTAGATCTCTGCTTATCAGGTATGGAGAGAATGGTGCTGGAAAGAAACAAACCGTTTTTAATAATAACTGAGGATATCTTAGAGTCAATCTTGAAACGGCTGCCTTTGATTGACATTCATCTTCTTCCTGTAAATCAACTGCTCAAGCACTCCTTTCCTCCAACTGCGACTTGTGCCACTTCAAAATCCCATGAAAGTTTTACTAACTGTATAAATTTCATCACTAGTTCTAATTTATGATGAAAAATAAAGATTTAGTGATCAATAATTTAATTTTTAAATGTGATTTCTTTTTATAATGAGACAAATAATTATAATGAAAGACTTCTCTAATTAAATTGATTCTAAAAATATTCATATTTAGATAAAAAAAAGATTATTTGATGATTAATAATTGTTAATATTTATAATTTAAAATATTTAATTCATTCGACTAAACTCAACAATTTATGATAGCTTCCAATAGAACAAAACAACACTTCTACTTTGTATACCGTGACCTCGCGTGAGGATAACCCCAGTTCAGATGTTGTCTAATTCATCTTTGGTACTGTTAAATACATGGTGCAGGAGTGGCGTGTATTTACAAGGAGGCAGGTTAGCTGGAGGTCCCATAAAACTTGTTTCAGCAGTGTCTCCATTTTTCACTATAAAAACGGCAGCCATTCCCCAGCTAAGATGCCTTTCAAAATGGCAATGCATAAGCCAAACCCCTGTTAAAAAAATTCACAGTCTCCAGTGTCAGTGGCATCATTTTTACGACTTTGATTCCGAAGTTAAGGACATGATTCAAATATCTAAGCTAGGCAACAGTTAGCTTATCAGAAACTATTTTTCCAGTCCTGAACTGGCTGTTTTTCTTCAGATAGTCAGCAACTGATAAATTAGTTTCCCAAAAAGAAAATTGTTATGTATTTACTATAATCTTATAACGTTTTGTACCAGGATTATCAGCTCTGAAACTAACTGTTGCCCATCCATTGTTTGGAACCACAATTGTATTAGCTTGAGGTGGATCAACTAAGTTATATGACAACGTCGTTTTTGTAAATACCCACACCTGATCCAATCAGGTAAAATTTATACCCATGCAAATGCATTGGGTGATCCTCTCCTCCATTAAGGACATTAGTCCCTTGGAAAATTATCTCCACTGACTCATTATAATTCAACACCTTTACTGTTGTTGCCTGTTTGGTAAGTATGTAATTTGGTGTTAGGAGGTCGTCGCCTGTGAAGTTCAAAAACACAGGCGGTATGTCTGGGAAGTCTGTTTCGTAGATCCCACTTATGTTCCTAAAACAGAAGTTTCAAAAAACTAAAATTAATTTTGGAATTAAGATCAGAAGTTTAAATTTCTGCAATAACTTAAAAATATATGTAGCGGAATTGATGAATTATATGCTGGTTGAGGTACCTGTAATATGCTTCAAGAATATCAATTGCAGGATTAACAAAACTAATGTTGTTTAAGCTTGCCAAGATCCTGCCACCATCTGGCCCTGCGCAGGAGTCATTTGGACAGGGATTCAGATTGGCGGAAATTGTTGTAAACATTCTGGTATCAACTTCCATTGGAACCTCAATGGGATGTTCTTCACTTGCCAAGCTCCTTAACCGTTCAACAAACGTCCGTGCAGATGCCATATCAGCGTAATTAGGAACAAATACCGGAAAGTAAGGTGTTTTCTGAGTGTAGTTGCCAGTGTATTGGAAAATTGCTGAAGCAGTGCTGTTGTCGAAGTCCTCAGTCCCCACCGCATCAAAGTAAGGAGTAGCAATCATGTAGTATTCCCCTGGTTTCTGGTTTGCTGTGGCTAGGATATCCAAGGTTTGTCCAGTAGAAATGAAAATGTAGTCTTTAGTAACGGGTTTGACATATCCGGTATCCGATCCTACAACAGTCAGGTTGTGACCCGCAATCATAAAGAAAAGATCTCTGTTCATCAACGCGTTTACTAAACGAAGAAGGTGAGTCTTGCCATACTCAAATTTCATGCGGATTGTGGGCTCTGCAGCATTAAGGAGCTCTTCAATATTAAATGTAATCATGAAACACACAGGATAGCAATCCAGGGAATTGAAGTGATATGAATATGCCTTTGGAGCAGTTCTTGAAATCTCCTGGTTGGCCATTGATGGTGTAAGCATTAGATATTAAAGATTCACCAGTTCCTGTTTTGAGCATATAATCAACATAGGGGTTCACATCTTCGTTGTACCATGAAGCTGGCAAGGATCACAAGAAAAGAGTGAAATTTCACATTGGAGTATTTGAATTTAATTGAAGTTAATGAAGAATATTGCAATGATTTTCTTACAAAAAACGATGACTTCCTCTCCATCAGGTTCTGGAAATGGGTAAATTTTTCCAGGAGCTGGTTTGATAACA